ATATATTTGAATTTATAAAGGCAGTCAAAATCAATGATAAAAATGCATACTTAATAAGAAGCCATCTTTTACAGAATGAACTTCTTCGCAGCGCTCAAAAAGAAGCTCATCACAGAGTCGGCATCATGGCGTGACTGAAAATAATTGAAATTAGACTGCAGGATAAACGGTATTGCAACCCTACTCAATGTAGGTTTGCGATTGCTTACCGATATTTTTAAAATTGCGGAAAATTGCTTGTAGCGCTCGCCATACTGTAAGTGCTGGACCGACATCATTCTCTCATCTCCTGTTCCATAATATCCTGGCAGCAAGTCCGAGTCGAGCCGATTGCAGGTGAGGTGGAAAGAAAAATCAATAGTTATACGGGGTGAGACCTGATTGGGAGGTGTGAGCTCAGTCAGTCTGCGTCGTGTCGCCTTATTCTATTCCACAGTTCCTTTAAATGTTTATCAATGCCATCTAATTTTATGTGCCGGTTGATGCATGAGCCGTCGGAGTGCACGGCCTCAAGGAATTCTCGGCCCATTTTGAAGGAGCAAACTTCGACGATACATGTGCTATCCCATGCAAAGGTGTGTCCTGTACCGAGGCAATGCATAGCCACTTCGAGTGGTGCCACCAAAACCAACTAGAAAAAAGGTTAACGCAGTACAAAAGTAGGAAGATTGTGGAAATCGTCCTGCTTAAAATTCGTAAGTAAGCAATTATACCCGTGGTTAAGTTAAAAGGCCAATTTTGCTTAGTATACTGACTTAAGTGGTTATTGTGTGCGGCGACCTTTCGAGGACCACTCTGCATTTTAATGCCATCATCAAATCCCTGCTTGATCGACGAATGACGTGTAGAAAACTGGAAGATTATTGGGTAAATCAACCTACTTAAAACATTTAAGTAGGTGGCTATAATAAATAAGGACCTTTCGAAGATTAAGAACGAATTGAGTTTTCCTCCTAGTTTACCACCTTTCGAGCCAGCACTTTTAACCAGTCCTAATGATTTCAAGCAAATAAACTTACACTCAGTGATGAAAGCAACGCAATTGAATAAACTAAGTTAGCTCAATACTGGCCTCAATGTCTCTTTCCTATCCTGTCTACCTGTCTTCCGTCCGATCTTAAGAGTTTATTTGATTACAGGTGCAGCGTAATTCTTTGTATTGCACATGTCACGAAAACCATCACGCAGCTGGTTTGCCACTGATCATTGATGACTTTCATTCAGTTGCTTTTAAAGTTACTGTAGGTGCTATACTCCACACACAACACAAAAGTACACCGTGTAGGAGGATCTCGCCTCCCATCGGCAAGGCCCATATAGTCCAATACTCGGCGTGCGATCGTTGTTAAGATCACAGTTTCGTGAGGTTACAAGTAAGGTCTCGGTTACGGATTTAGAACAGGTGGCGTAAAACTCGTGCGTATTGAGGTACTTGGTACATTCTGTTACTTCGGTAAGTTCTTTTTTCTTCCTCACCCAAC